TAACATCGGAAGAGCCTCGAGCGTAAGGGCCGAAGCCTACGCCCAAAAGCCCTAAACCCCTAAACCCCTAAACCCTAAACCCTAAACCCCAAACCCCTAAAACCTTAACCCCTAAACCCTAAACCCTAAACCCTCCATGGCCTACAAGCGCCGGAAAGGCGAAGGCCATGGCAGACAGCGGCCCGCCGAGGGTGTTGATGACACCGACCTTTGCAAAAGAGTTTAGGGGCAAGGTGATTCGGGTTTAGGGTTTAGGGTTTAGGGTTTGGGGTTTAGGGTTTAGGGTTTAGGGTTTAGGGGTTTAGGCTGTGAGGTCGTAGGGTTCAGGCGGGGGTCTTGATGGGGAAAAAACCTCAAGAAACCTAAACTAGGGTCCGTTTTAGGGACCTAAAAGCGGACCCTAATCTAGCGAACTACCCTCCTGACTATGCTACCTCAGCTAAAGCTCCGTAACAAAGACCCAAGAGAGCACTAACACACTTACTTGCCCGAATTGTTCAGGAATACTAGCAGTGGTCACGTGCACACAGCGACAAACATAGCGAATCAACATGCCAGCAAAGTCAATGCTGCCATACTACCAGGAGCAACAAGCCCTAGAATAATTAAGAATCGACAAAGGACAGTTGCACTTGTTAGGCTCATGACCCTCATGGCCACGTCACGCGTAGAAGTGTGCCCGAGTTTCACAGTGCAGGGTAATGTAGAAGCCTAAATACGGGTTTAGGGTTTAGGGTAGGAACATTCCTATAAACACTATGGCCTCATCTAAAGACACTAATAGCAAACCTTGACCAAAAGCAACCCTTCTACTGCCCCGAGTCGCAAAACCCCCAAAAACCCGAATTAAAACCACCCAAGCATGGCTTTCAGCAAACTGGCTTCTCGTTGGGGAAGTTGATTTCCGTAAGTTACCAAAACCATGCTATCTACGAGCTTAAACCCCTAAACCCTCCACCCTATAAACCCTCCTAAACCCTAAACCCTAAACCCTAAACCCTAAACCCTAAACCCTAAACCCTAAACCCTAAACCCCCGAAGCCGGAGTTTAGGCAAAGCTTCGAGTGTCGGACCTTTTTCTTTCCCTGCGCAAGCCGAGGCGTTTCGGATCTGGTCTCCCTTTCTCTGGATCCTTAGGTAAGGGTCCTAATTAAGTACCTGCGCCGGCAGTTCTCGAAATTAGGCTCCCTGCTAATATGGGATCCTTACCTAACGGGTCCTAAGTAGCTGCATGGGCAGCTCTCTAAATTGGGCTTCCTTTTTTGCAATTGTTATTATGGTCCGGGTGAGTATCCCACATATGAAAATAGGATCTTGTTTCTCAGGGCTTGCGCTGCATTGAGGTTCATTATTGCCTGAACTTCCGAGTCTGCCTCATGTCCATCTCACTTCTCTATGAGGTACAACGCCTCGGTGGCAGCTGTCTGCACGTTGTGATTGTCGTCGTACTTCATCTCGTGAATCAAGGGTTTCAAATTGGCTGCTTCCTTGCCAAGCAGGCCGCACGTCTTGATAGCGAGCCATTTCGTATACCACGGGATGTAGGTCATCCTCTCTCTGGCCACCTGAAGCACCTTGTGGGGCTCTTTCTTGCCAATCTTCCGCAAGGCCTCGCTCGCTGCTTTCAAGTAGGGATCCCTCGCCGACTTCACTTCCCAGCCCACCCCGTTGAAAATCGCTGTCACGGAATCCGCGGCCTTCTTGCCCATGTTCCCTAGAACCGTGACGGTCGCAACACGGATATCGATGGAGCGGTCGCTCAACCCCCGGGAGGTGAGCTTCGGGATCGCCTTCTCGGCCTCCTTGCCTTAGTTGCAGAGTCATGCTACAGGGGTTCCTCATAAGAGGTCCTCAGAAGGGTTTAGGGTTTAGAGGTTTAGGGTTTAGGTGTTCAGGGTTCAGGGTTCAGGGTGTTTACAGGGGTTCCTCATAAGAGTTCCTCATAAGGGTTCAGGGTTTTTACAAGGGTTCCTCATAAGAGTTCCTCATAAGGGTGTAGGGTTTGTATAAGGGTTTCTCATAAGAGTTCCTCATAAGGGTTTAAAGTTTAGGGGTTCAGGGTTCAGGCTTTTCTCCAAGGGTTCCTCATAAGAGTTCCTCATCAGGGTTTAGGGTTTGTATACGGGTTCCTCATAAGAGTTCCTCATAAGGGTTTAGGGTTTAGGGGTTCAGGATTCAGGGTTTTTACAAGGGTTCCTCATAAGAGTTCCTCATAAGGGTGTAGGGTTTGTATAAGGGTTCCTCATAAGAGTTCCTCATAAGGGTTTAGGATTTGTATAAGGGTTCCTCATAAGAGTTCCTCATAAAAGTTTAGGGTTTAGGGGTTCAGGGTTCAGGTTTTTACGAAAGTTCCTCATAAGGGTTTTAAGTTTGTATAAATGTTCCTCATAAGAGTTCCTCATAACGGTTTAAAGTTTAGGGGTTCAGGGTTCAGGGTTTTTACAAGGGTTCCTCATAAGGAGTTCCTCATAAGGGTTTAGAGTTTGTATAAAGGTTCCTCATAAGAGTTCCTCAAAAGGGTTTAGGGGTTCAGGGTTTTTACAAGGGTTCCTCGTAAGAGTTCCTCATAAGGGTCTAGGGTTTGTATCAGGGTTCCTCATAAGAGTTTCTCATAAGGGTTTAGGGTTTAGGGGTTTAGGGTTTGCATAAGGGTTTCTCACAAGGGCTTCGGCTTAAGCTGGGGTTACTATAAGGGTGCCATTGAAACGATTCTGTCATAGTGTGAAGCCTTTAAAGGCTACTAAGTTACCCATCTTGCCGATTTCCTCGATCGCGTCCAGGCGCACCGCTTTGCGAGGATCGTCAAGAAGATGGATCCACTCTTCCAGGGGCGGCTCGTAGAGGTCCGCAGACCTACCTGGACCCCAAAGAACCTACCTTCTCCGGGACTTAAACAAGAAAACCACAATAATAACACCAATACTAACTTATAAGAACACGAATAGGGAACCCCCACAAAAAAGGAAGGTCTTATGGGGGTAGATCCTTTAAGGAGCCCTTTCAACATCTTCAAAAGCAGCCCTTGATGACCTTCAACAACTTCGAGTACCTTGTAATGGTAGTGGCCTACACTGAGGCTCTAAGGACTCATTTGTGTAAAGGCTTTTGGGCCCAAAGACCATACCACATTTTCGGCTTTTGGGCTATTTTGCGCCTAAGGCCTAGAGTTTAGGGTTTAGGGCCTAGGCCGGTACCAGTAGCGCTTACGCTGGCCCAGAGAGTCCCTCCACGAGGCCCCTGAGACCCCGAAAATAAATGCCTTAATCATTAGAGGGTTTAGGGTTTAGGGTTTAGGGTTTAAGGTTTTGGGGATCCATCATAATAGTGCATCTATTCTCGTAAGGAGCCCTCTTAGAGGCATATGAGGGCTTCGTAATCGGGGCCTTAATGTTTCGAATAGGGTGGTCGGGGTATGTTATACTCTAGTTATAATAAGGAACCCCCAAAATAGTATTGGTAATCCATTCAGCCCTAAACCCTAAACCCTAAACCCCTAAACCCCTAAACCCCTAAACCCTAAACCCTAAACCCTAAACCCTAAACCCTAAACCGAGCCACTATATCAGACCCTGAGCCGCCCAAACCCTACACCCTAGGCCCTAGACCCCCCAAAAAACAACCTTTTTACACCGTAACCCCAGAACCCTAGGGTTTTAGGGTTTAGGGTTTAGGGTTTAGGGCCCCAGGACCCTAGACCTTAAAACATAAACCCTGGTTTATATTTAAACCGATTTAAACCCTAAACCTTACACCCTACACCCTGAACCCTAAACTTAAACATGGAACTGACATGAAATTCAGACATCCCAAAACCATAAGCCTAAAGCCTTAAACCCTAAACCCTAAACTGCCTATAAACCATAAGCCCTAAACACTAAACCCAAACCCTGAAACCTAAACCCTAAACCCTAAACCCTGAAACCCAAACCCCAAACCCTAAACCCTGAACCCCAAACCCTATTCCCTAAACCCCACAACCCGGGCCCTGGTCCTTCGTTCGTTCCCGCGTCGCCCTGCGACTCCGCTGGCGTCTCCATGTTCTTCAAAAGGTCGACCTATCAGCTAATGTAGGGTTTAGGGTCTAGGGTTTAGAGTTTAGGGTTTAGGGTTTAGGGATTAGGGTTTAGGGTTTAGGGTTTAGGGTTTAATGTAGGGGCCGTAATAAGGGATCTATGAGGGTTCTATGATGTAGGGGCCTTGATAATCAGACTCGGGTTTTATAGGGTTTAGGGTTTAGGGTTTAGGGTTTAGGGTTTAGGGTTTAGGGTTTAGGGTTTAGGGTTTAGGGTTTTATAGGGTTCCTTCAATGGGTTCCTGACAGGGTTCTATAAGCGCTACTTAAGGGTTTAGGGTGTAGGGTCCTTGATGATTAGAACAGGGTTTCATAGGATTCCTTTAAAGGGTTCCTTAAGGGGTTCTATAAGGGATCTATAAGGGTTCTATAAGATAGGAGCCCTAATAAATAGAATAGGGTTTTGGGGTATATTATACTCTGGTTAGAATAAGGAACCTCCAACATTATATAGGTAATTACTTAGGCCCCTAAACTACCCACACGCATCCCCTCTGGGTTTACATAAACCCTGAAGAACCTCCCTTTTTAGGGTGTCTTATGATGATGTCTTTGTACAAATCCCGAAAACGGTAGGTTCTTTGGGGTCTAGGTAGAGCTAAGGGGTTTTAAGGGTTTTTTGGTTCAGGTTCAGGGTTTAGGGTCCAAGTTTTTTGTTTAGGGGGTCCTTTAAGTGCACCATAAGGGGAAGGTCGACCTACCAGTTGCCGACACCCATCCTTTCAGGGTTTGGGGCTTAGGCTTAAGGGAGTTTAGGGTTCAGGCTTTAGGTTTACGGTGTATAGGGTTTGGGGCTTAAGATTTAGGGTTTGGAGTTTAGGGGGTTCCTGTCTGAGCTCCTTTCAAGGGTATGAGGGTTTCGCTGCTTTAGAGGGGGTCTTCAGGCATAGGGTTAGGGCTTCTCCCGTTCCGCTTAGGGTTTCATGGGGCTCTTCTTTTAGGGGTCTTTTCAGTCTTTTTAAGGGAACTATTAAGACTCTATAGTTGTGTTAAGTATTCAGGAAGTTTGGGGGTTAAGGGCTTTAGGGGTTTCGGGTTTAGGCTTCACGGCTTTAGGGCTTTAGTGTTTTGTTAGTTCATCCTAAACCCTACCCTAAACCCTAAATCCTAAACCCTAAACCCTAAACCTTAACACTAAACCCTAAACCCTAAACCTAAACCCTAAACGCTAAACCCTAATCACTTTTCGCAGCCCATACCACCGCTTGGTTTTGAGACATCGCCGGGCCTGGGATCCGCCTCGGCGCGTTGCATCTGTGATGGCCAGGCACAAGGACCACAGGGTCCTTGGGTTTGTTTCGGGTTTAGGGTTTAGGGTTGCTTGTAATGAGAGGGGACAGCAACAAAAACCCGCAAACAATAACGACGACAACAGCAACATAATCAGCTCCAGCAGACACCATCCAGCAGCAGCTACCATCCTCCCCCTTCCCTGATTGGCCCCCTCCACTACACAGACTAAACTCTGCTAAGAGTCAATGCTGCGGAGAGCGGCATCGTCACAAAGTTGGAGTTCACAAACAAGACAGGCTTGGTAAGCACAGATTGTGTCTTGAGCCCCGTGGCTGAGGTGCATTTATGCAAATGCAGTACAAGCATCGTTCTCATACTCGGGAATGCAAGAAGCCATGTGTGCTCCTATGCTGGGGCCCAACTTGGAAGAAAACACAACTACCCTAAACCCCAAACCCTATAGTCTCTCTGTTTTGTGCTTAGCGAGAAAACCATTGTCACATGTCCATGAACTCAGTTCATGCACGCCTTTAAGCCGCGATGTAGTGGGTCAATGTAGCTTAACTCCGAAGCCAGGCACCCGTGAAAGCCCAGAACAAGTATATCAGTGAATCGAATAAGGTTTTGAAGGCTATGATCTCATACCTTGTCTCTTCATAGGCACTATACGGAAATGCTAGTTCCCAAAAGCCCCATTGAAACTGTTGACTCTTTGATCGACTTCGACAACCTATGCAACTGCCGGAAAAGTGAAGCCTGCATGCACTACAGCCAAGCTTCAGGGTTTAGGGTGTAGAGTTTAGTGGTTTAGGGTTTAGGGTTCAGGGTTTGGGGGTTTAGGCTTTGGGCTTTAGGCTCTTTTTTTTTAGGCTTTAAGCTTTAGGCTTTGGGCTTTAGGGTTTAGGGTTCAGGGTTGAGCCTCCAACACGACGACGTACTACTGTGGGTTCCTGACGGGCTTGGGGCTCACGGTGTACCGCGAACTAAGAGTTTAGGCGGTTTAGGGGTTTAGGGTTTAGGGTTTAGGGTTTAGGGGCGCCAGCGACGGACCAACCAGCCTCTGCAGAACGAGGGATCCATTCTTTCCTGATCTGCTCCTCTAAGTTTATTAAACCCTAAGGCCAAGGGACCCAGAGCGCATTGAAGCGCTGGATGAGCCGAGCATTGAGATAGAACCTGGACACCACTTGAATGACCCTGCTGCGGGGCCTCAATGGTTAGAATAGGGTTTTGGGGTATATTGTACTATACTTATAACAAGGAACCCCCAAATTTTTCAATTATTAAGGCGCCTATATTCAACCATGAACCGTGGCTCCAAGAGGGCTCTAAATCTATAATTCTTCGTCAGTTGTCCCTACGAAGCTCCGTGAGCCTCCAGGTAGAAAGAATGCTTCTCGGATGTATGGACCCCAGGAGTGGCACATATTAGGGGTTTAGGGGTGCGGGTTTGGGGTTTAAGGTTTAGGGCTATAGCTGCGAATTCTAAGCAGGTAGGGGGGAAAGGGGGGGGGTGCTTGCTTTAGTAATGTAAACCAATTCGGGCACGCAAACAGCAACGCATTCTTTGGAAATCCCAAACATTCGACCCATGAATCGAGAAAGTAACAAATCAAAGCAGCCCCTACCAGAGCGGTATATTTTGGAAACCTTATTGAAATTAAAACCCTTGGAAGAACCATTCTCTACACATACTAGGGTTTGAACTCTTTTGGTAATTTCTTTAAGCCCCTATCTTACTTCTATCGAGTGATCCTCCGAGCCTCCAGGTGGGTCCAAGTAGGACTCGGGGTTGAAGATTTAAGGGTTTAGGCTTCCCTGAACCTGAAACCCTAAACCCCTAAACCCCTAAACCGTAGGCTTTATAGGGCTGGAGGTTCGGAGCCCCTGTTGGCAGGAATGTTCAGGGTTCAGGGTCCGTTGGGTTGCGCAAAAGCCTTGCATAGCACGGTTGTGCGGCCCAAATTCCTGATACTGTGAACCCTTGGGGTTTAGGGGTTTAGGGTTCGTTGGAGCCTGCCCTTAACCCTTAACCCGATATCAAACCCTGAACCCCAAGGCACTAAACCCTAAACCCTAAGGCGAGTGGCATGCCCGCATGGGAAAGCGCGTAGACCTTGCGCTGGGCTGAGAGGGGCAAGAGTTTGTTGGCTTTCCGGGTTGCTTTGAGGGGTTTAAGGGTTTAGGGATTTAGGGTTTAGGGGCTTAGGGGTTCAGGGGTTTAGGGGTTTAGGGGTTTAGGGGTTTCGGGTTTAGGGTTTAGCTCCGTTCAGGGTTCTTCAAGAGTCCTCGAGAGGTTTGGGGCTTTATAGGATCCAGATTTCTTTCAACAGGTTCCTCTAAGGATTTCTTGGGGCTTGTCGATGGTATTCTGGGGGATCTCTGGAGGTTTTGCTGGGCTTGCTTAGGATTCAAGGCTGGGGTGTGACCCGGTTCAGGGCTTCGGGCTTCCGAGGTTTAGGGTTTAGGGGTTCTAGGGTTGAGGGGTTTTAGGGCTTAGGGTTTAGAGTTCAGGGCCTAGGGTGTCCGGGGTTTAGGGTTTAGGGCTTAGAGTCTTAAATAGGATGTGCATTGGCATAGCATGGGGTGTCATGGTTTGTTTTTGGCTCTAAGCTAAGGGGAGTCTCTGAAGGTAAGGATGCTTGTGATTTGAAGTTCAATCCTTTGGGTTTAGGGTCTAGGGTTTAGGGAAGTTGCCAAGATGATCTCTGAAATCGACACGTGCTAAGTAAGGGTTCAGGGTTTGGGATTTTGCCGGTTCGCCGGTTTGAGGTTGGGACCGTTTAGTAGGACTTAGGAATTGGAGCGAAATCAACACTCAACATCGGGTTGAGAGGTGTACACTACGTAGCAGAGCTATATCAGGCGTTTAGAGGGGTCCAAAGGACCCAAGAATTAGGTAGTTACTTGGGTTTAGGATAGCAATTATATGTAGGTTACTTTGTGGGAGAAGGAACCCTTAGAGGAGTCCTTACAGAACCCTCCAGTAGGAACCCTTGGAGCAGCCCTTAAAAGGAGGCCCTTCAAAGCTGGTGTAGGAGAGGGGTATCTTGACTATGATACGAAGCCTGCGCTGCTGTCTGAAAACTGAATGGGGCTCGCGGCAGTGAGTCGGGTGTGGGGTCAGGGTTTAGGGGTTTAGGGGTTTAGGGCTTAGGGGTTTAGGGTTTTAGGTTTAGGGTTAAGGGCCAGTTTACTGTGCCCCAACCGTACATTAAGTACCCTACTCCCATGGTTCATCTTAAATTAAACCTCTATCCTTCTTTTCATATATCTTTACATCCGAATACTGCAGCCTGAAATCTCAAAACATCGGTGAGTGTTTTGGAAATAGAATTCCTGTTTAATCAACACCTGCTTCCCTTTGGGGCATATCTATGTGGACTCCTGGAATAATAATCAGTCCTTCGTCAGTGACTCGGGCTTCTACCAAGCCCTAAACCATAAACCCTAAACCATAAACCCTAATCCCTATAAGCCTTAACCAAATCCCTAAACCCTAAACCCTGAACCGTAATCCGTAAGCTACGCGATGGGATGGAGGCTTCTAGAGGGATTCGGGTCAGGGTCTGTGTGCTGGTGCACCACCTCATGGGCCGGGCGTTAGTAGCCATTAGAACAGGGTTTTGGTGTAGAATCATACTATAATTCGAATCACCCTAAACCCTAAACCCTAAACCCTAAACCCATAATTCGAATCAGGAGCCCCAAAAATAGTATAGATATTTATAAATTGTTAAGGCCTCTACAGGAATGTTAGGGGCTTGGGGCCTTAAGCCCTTGAGTGGCAAGTTTTTTGGGGGTTCAGGGTCTTTTAAGGTTTAGGGTTTAGGGTTTAGGGTTTAGGGTTTAGGGTTTAGGGTGGGTGCTATGACTGAAGGTTTAAGGTTTAGGTCTCAGGGGCTGTGCTTGGAAATTGAAGTTCCTTTCGTTGCCAGAACTTCAAATCCCAAGCCCTGGAAACTTAATGCAACCCTAAACCCCACACACCCATTAACCCCAAACCCTACACCTACGATCCCAAATCCAAGTGTGGTTCCGAAGCCCTGCATAAGAATCTGCTCGCCTGCGGCCATAGCCAGGCCCCCACCTTACCTCGCAGCCGCAAAAGGACAAGCAAAACCCTAATGCCCTAAACCCTCAGCCTAAACCATAAGCCCCGGAGATTTATGGTGTAAGACCGATCTCGTCAAACTCGGCCCCGTCCGCTTCAAGTAAACATCGCACATCCCCATGCCTCAACAAAAAACGGAGGTCAGAAGAATGCGACGAGCAAACTGGCAAACAAACGGCTGCAACCTTTCCAAACACCATCAACAGTTGACGTTAAGCCTATGGTTTAAGTAAGGGCTTCTGGATTTAATGGTTGAAGTTCAGCGGGGTTAGTTGTAAGCGCACTCACGAAGCTTACGAAAGGACTGTCAGATCAATCCCGCAACCAGCTGCAGTACCCTGAACCTAGACCCCAAAGAACCTACCTTTTCCAGGACTTATATAGGGATTTCATAATATGGAACCCTAGAAAGGGAGGCTCTTAAGGGGTCCCAGGTATGGCTTAGGGCTTGGACAGGCTGCAATACCCTGTCAGCACATCTTCCGCGTAGGGAGCTCCAGCAGCGCAGCACAGCGAGTGCACCTGATTCCTGAGAGTCAGGGAATGAATCTCAGTTTCCCTGGGGCTTCAGGTATACAAAATAGTACTTACTTTGGGGTCTCTAAAGTCTGTAAATAGTACCTACTTTGGGCTTTTTGGAGCTCCAGGGTTTGATAAGTCCGTAAACGTCCTAGGCTCGAGTCGCTTCAGTGCTGAACAACCGGAACCGAAAATCGACCCGAAGTCTCAACTAAGGCGCGAGACATCCCAAAGCCCTCTGACAAGCAGCTGCGAAGACCAAAGCAAAAAAAGGGCTTTAAAAATTAGACTAGGGTTTGGGGGCCCATTATACTGGAACTATAATACGGAACCCCCCAAGATAGTATAGGTAATTATTTGAGCTCCTATATTAAGTGCAGCCGGTGCGGCTGAAACGCAGCGCTGAGGGAACGCCCGGTCACGGTGCCATTCAAGTAGGGCACTGCCTCCTACGTAGGGTGGGTTTAAGGTTTAGTTTAGGGTTCCTACGTAAGGTGGGATTGGATGATTGGCTTGAAACACCCAGAGGGTCCGTATATACTACCACTCTGGAAATATGCACACAAGACCACCGTTAATATGGTTTTGGGGACCCAATTCCCTAACGGTAGTCTATATGGACCCTCTGGGAAGGATCTCTATATTCATATCTATCAAACCCTAAACCATAAACCATAACCAAGATACGTCCAACAAGCAGAGTTCCAACAGACGTGACGTTGCCTCTTCTTGAGAGATTCGACCCCCGTTATAAGTTCTCCTTGAAGTCAGAAAAGACCTACCTTCTTAGGGTGTCTTAGATTATGGTTTCTGTATATAGTCCCTGAAACGGGTAGGTCTTTTGGGCCAGAAGTAAACCGTAAGCAGGTAGAACAGAGTCTTAGTGTATGTTATCGTATGAGAAGGGAACCCTAAAGAATACTACTGGTACTGATTCTGACCCTAAACCCAAAACCGAGAACAACTGAACTCAGAAGCATCCCGGGTTTGCTGGTACGCCAAGAATGCTTACTGTATGAAACCCGGAACCCGAAATGGTTCAGGGCTTAGGGTTTTAGGGTCAACCCTGAACCGTGCATGAACCCTACTGAAGCCCCTAAACACTAAACCCTAAACCCCAACTTAAAAAAAAAAACAAGCATGGCCTGAAACCGAGTAAACCTTACATCGCAGTCGGAACCCTGAGCCGAAGGAGCCAAAACGCTGGTTTAGGGGTCTAGGGTTTAGCGTTTAGGGTTTAGAGATTTAGGGTTTAGGGGTTTAGGGTTTAGGGGTTTAGGGGTTTAGGGTTTAGGGGTTTGGGGTCTAGGGTTTAATGGCGCTGGTGTTAAGCGATTGGGGCTTGCCGTGTAGGATAGCACGATGACTCCTTAAAACCTGAACATTGAAATCACACCGTAAAGCCCTACACGCTCAACCCGAAACCTCAAATCTCAGACCCTATATACCCTAAACCCTAAACCTAAACCCTAAACCCTAAACCTTAAACCCTAAACCCTAAACCCTGACCCACCGAAACGGCTGCCGAGCTGCCATGGGAATAGTGAACAAGGCCGTCACGCAGCAGTACCTGCGGAGAAGGCATAACAGGAATGTGGTTGAGGGAAACAGCGTTCGCGGACCCCAAACACTAAGCAAAACAACCTAAACTCTAAACGCCTAAAGGCCCAAAACCCTAAACCCTAAACCCCTAACCGAAAACCCTACACCCTGTCACTGAGTCTCCCGGGCTGAATAACGGATATAGTTTCGGGGATCCAAAGCCCTACTATTTGGGCAATTGGACGCTTAGGGTAATATAGGGACCGCCACAAGTCGAATAAGGTTGCGGAGGTATATACCAATACGGCATACTAAAGTATAATTTAGTATTGTACAGTATCGTATAGTGTAGAGAGAACGGAGCAAAATTAAAAACTATAGAGTTCAAAGTATAGAATACAGACATGTTTAGTGACATGGTTGAAACAGTTATGTATAGTATCTTATACCACGGTATCATATATATATATATATAGCATGGTACAGTTTAGTTTAGTTTTGCATATGATAGCATAGGATAGGGCAATAACATATATTAATCCAGCTATATAGGGACCATAAGGAGATATTAATTTCCTCGTAGGTACCATCGTTGCACGAATTCTGGCCAAAGAGACAATACTCCTGAATTGCTCAGGTCCTCAGTATCTCATGCAACGGCGTTGGAACAGGCGTTGGTGTTGCAACCCTACAGAAGATCAAGGGCATTCTTAGCTTTTTTTTGAGGGCCTTTCTAGTAAATCAGTGTAGCAAGCATTATTGTATTGTGGTGTATTCTAATGTGATACGGAAAACACGGGTTTTGCCAACTATGAAGCTGCATAAAACTCACCAAAATGCCCTAAGCCCCAAACGCTATAATAAAATGATATTCTAAAACCCCATAACCTCGCATAAACAACTAACCCTAAACCCTAAACCCTAAACCCTAAACCCTAAACCCTAAACCCTCAAAGTGTGAATGCAGGGCACAGGTTGTACCAGAACAGCGCCGTCGCCGGCCGCAGGTCGCTGGGAGCGCGGGTTGCGCGCTCTTGGAACCTCATGGCGATCTTTTGGAATTTAGGTTTAGGGATTCCCTACACCCTAAGCCCTAAAACCCTCAAACCTAATTCCTATTTGGAATCCAGGTTTAGGGATTCCCTAAACCCTAAGCCCTGAAACCCTAAACCTAATTCGTAAGCCCCAAGCGGATCTGTTGGATTTTGAGGTTGAGGATTCTTCTAAGGGATCTATAGAGGGATCCAAGTTGAGGGTCCATAAGGCATTTAGAGAACCCCGATCTTCCAAGATCCTGTCGGTAAGGAATGGAATGCATATCTTACGGTTGATGATGTAAATCCGGCATCACCCATAATAAGGAATATACCATAATTCCCATAGTTTAGGGGCCTTAAGGTAAAGCAGTGTTTCTATCATCAACAGTAGTTTCTGGTAGGATCCCTAATATGATTTGCAGGTCTATTCCTCGTTAAGGTTATAGTGTTGGTAGATCTGGGTTTTTTGCGGGTACAAGGGCCTGTAGGGTTTAGGGAGTAGGGTTCAGGGTTTAGGGTTTGGGGTGTCGCAGGCTTTATGGCTTAATGCTTGGGTTTGGGGTCTAGGGATTAGGGTTTTGCAGGGTTTTAGGGTTTACCATAAACTAAAGGGTCTTACGGGTCCATGCGCCCATAGAGTTTACCTTGCCTCTGCAATACCTACAAAGGAACCGAATACATACGTCAGCTACATGGACCCCTATAGCCAACGTTCCGTGTGACATGAGGTTGCAAGGCATCTACGAGAAAGTCGCTTGTATGCCGGGTTGCAACCCAGAGGCTCCAGATAGACTACCATTATGGAATTGGGCCCCAGAAGACCATCCTTAATATGGTTTTAAGGGCCTAATTCCATAATAGCAGTGTATATGGAGCCTCTGGGCAAGTAATGCAAGTACCCCAGAGTGAGCGGCGTTGAATCACTTTTGGCCCTCAACGAACCTTGAAGTAACCATAAAGGTCCATGTACTCATATTAATGCCAAAGTGTCTAAGCAGGCACAGCATTAAGGACAACGTATTTAACATGAGCACATGGACGTTTAGGGAAACCCCTTAAACAACCCTAAGCCTAAACCCTAAACTCCAACCCTCCACCTCAACCTTTGACAAACCAGACCAGACATCTCCAAGTTCGAATCCTCGCGCCATCGACTGCAAAACCGGCAACCCATACCTGCAGCCCCCAATACTCTACAAAGCAACGAATACCTCGCTGCCGGGCTAAGAAGCCCTCAACACAAAATAAACGTTCACTTCTTAGAGCGAAAGGTTAAAAGTGTACTTACCTGGCTACTAATGCTACTGACGGTTTGAAGGTGGTGCTGTCAAGACGTCTACAGAAGAAGTGGTTGGAGCCAACACCCGAATGCTTGGCGCATAACCATCAAAGTGTCCCAAAACCCCAAACCTCAAACCCTAAACCCCCAACCCCCAACCCTAAGCCCGGGGAGCTACGGAGGCTCCCTAAATCCCACACACCTGATCCCGAGGCCCCTTAGGCTCTCAGATCCTACCTGAGCCGAGCCCCTGGCCAGCAGTGAGCCCTTACCTAGCCTTGTCATCAGGCACCTAGAAAACACAGGAAAAAAAATACAAAGCCGAACCAGGACAAAGCTCGAAGAACCCCCACCCTCCCTCCAAAAAAGGAAAACTATGGTTTAGGGTTTAGGGCAAGCTACCCTAGCCGCCCTAGCCCTAATCCCTGCACCAAACCCTGAAAGCACCCGAAGCCTCAACTTCCAAAGCCCTAAACCTCTCAAACTCGTAAACCCAACCCCCTGTGAAGCCTAGCTTCTTGAGGAGTTAATTAAGGGACATAACAAGGAGGAGTCCTAAAAAGGTGGGTTATTTAGGGTTCCAAACCTTAAGCCTCAGGCTCAACTTGGCTCAAAAGCCTTTAAAAGCCTGGCCTTTGGGCCCAAAAGCCCTAAACCAGCCCTTAGGATAAACCCTCGAACCTCAAAAATGAGCCCTCAGAGCCTTAGGGTAAACCTGGAGCCTCGGGCAAGGCACATCATTGCAAGTCCCTGCAGCCCCGCGCTGAGGCCGTAGAGGACCTGGCGTCGGGTCTCGACGGTTTGAGCTTTGGGGTTCGGGGCGGGCGTGTAGGGTTTATAGGGTTTATAGGGTTTATAAGGCTCATAGGCTTCATGGGGTTTAGGGATTTAGGAAACCTTAAACCCTTAGGGTAAGGGTTTACTCTGGGCGATAGAGCTTTAGGGCTTCAGGCTTAAGGATTTAGGATTTGAGGAGAGGGGCGGGGAGGTAGGGTTAAGGCTTCAGCATTTACTAGAATGTTCGGGTTGTTGTTTGTTCTTAGTGTTTATAGGCTTTGGGGGCTTGGTGGTTTGGGCCCTAAACCCTTTATGTCCGGAGTCTATGCTTTGGGGGTTCGGGGTTGAAGAATTAAGACTTACGGCTTTTTGGCGTTAACGGTTGAGGGTTTTAGGGTTTTAGGGTTTAGGGTTTCGGGCTTAGGGTTAAAGCTTATAGGCATTAAGGGTTCGGGTATTGTCAGGGTCTGGGGGTTTTAGTTTGGGCTTGGTGTTTAGAGTGTTATAGCAAACAGAATCGAACCGAAACGAAAGATAACGTAAACAATAACCTGATAGAAACTTGATTCTCTCGCTCTCAGGCGGCGATTTTGGGGTAACCCTAAACCCTCCTTGTGAACCCTAGTTTAGGCATGAAGGCTCAAGGATTTATAACCCTAAACCCTGAACCCTCCTTGAACCCTAGCTTAGGTTTGAGGCTCAAGGATTTATAGCCCTAAACCCTAAACCCAATCCCCTGAACCCCTAAACGACAAATCCTGGATCTTAGGCTATCTTAGGGCCTGACTGCAGGGGCTTCGGGTTGAGGGTGCATGCTTCAAACTAAAAACTAGGTTGCGAGTTTAGGGTCTAGAGGTTTAGGGGTTTAGGGGTTTAGGGTTTAGGGTTTAGAGTTTAGGGTCTAGAGGTTTAGGGGTTTAGGGGTTAGGGGTTGAGTGTTTCGGGTTTGGGGTTTAGGGGTCAGGGTGCTTTTTACCTAGATACTAAGTAAGCTCGCTAAGCCCTACACCCTTGCAAGTCTGATCCCTAGAAGCTGAACAAGTGCCAACATTGCTCCTTAATTAGGGTTCCTTATACCTTATTTAAGACCCTAAACCCTAAACCCTAAACCCTAAACCCTATTTAAGAACCTCTTATAGCGATTAAGTCCCTGAATTAAGCTCCTTGCAGCCCGAGGACTACCGCCCATGGAGGATTCGACTCATCTCCAACTTCGTGCCTAGAGCCAGCAGGGACAGAAGCGTGCCGCTGGGGGTTTAGGCATTTAGGGCTTTAGGGGTTTGGGGCTTTGTGGGGTGTTAGGACCTATTTAGGTTTCTTTTGCGTTTGGCTCCTAGTCCCACTAAACCTTAAGCCACCAAACCCTCAACACTACACTATAGGGCTACCAGCTATGCTCTAGGGCCTCAAAAGAAGGGCTTACTGTTTCCGGCTTTGTGGTAGTATTCAAGCCGGCGTTGGGGAGTTTAGGGTCTAAAGTCGGATGCTGAATGTAGGGGCGTGAATAATTAGAATAAGGGCTTTGGGAGCTCCTTACTATAATTCTGTAATTATAGTATAATATACCCGCAAACCCTATTCTAATTATTAAGGGCCCTCTGTTAGAGATGTAGGTTTGTGTTTATTTGGGGTTCGCCATGCTAGGGCTTGGCCTTGAGGCTTGAAAAACAGGTCCACTAGAGGATGGCTTTAGGATTTAGGGTTTATAAGGTTCACAAGGTCCTCGTACACAGCCTCGCAGGGCGCAGTGAGCATTCTTCGAAGGAGGCCGCACTTCGTCCAGCAGCCCTAAACCCTAAACCCTAAACCGCCTCCCGACGAACCAGCCGGCAGTACGGCAGGAGCCACTCGTAAACCTCTGCATCGGACACGCGGCCGAGGTCCATGCTGTCGAAACTTCAAGCACCGGAAGCCCAGAACCTCCCAGGTCCTAATTCCTCCCCCCTGGGCCCCAAATAAATCTCAATCCATCAACTCTCAAAGCCCTACTCCCGGAAACATACACCCGTAAACCCTTAAGCCCTAAACCCGAGGCCCTAAACCCTGAAGCCCCGATCCCAGAAACCGGCACTTAAACCTGAAACCCCTCAAAAACGAAGGAGAGCCGACTCCGGGAGCTCAACTAGCTCAGAGCCCTTACAAGGAATGGGGGTTTAGGGCCTATACACAACGAAGAATCTGACTCCTTGCACCGTTACGACAACATCGCAAGCCCTGCCCCAAACAGCTCTCTAAACCCTAAGCCCTAAACCTTAGACCCTAAACCCCTAAACCCCAAGAGCCACCAAAATCACTCTAAACCCTAAACCCTAAACCCTAAACCCTAAACCGCAAAACCTTGAGCCCATTAAACACGACTCAACATATGAATCCTTCGGGCCTCAAACCCCTAAACCCGTTTACAAAGAAGGTTTAGGGCTCATACGGCTTAAGGTTTAAAGTTCAGGGTTTAGGGTTTAGGGTTTAGGGTTTAGGGTTTAGGGTTTAGGGCTTAGGGTTCGGGATAAGGAGGGGAGGGGTAATACCAGAAATACGGACCTAACAAGGCTTATGTAAGGAAGTATAGTCCCCCACCCCCTAAAGGTCCCTACTTATTACAGAAGATAGAAGCACCCTACTCTAACGGTCAGGCCCCCTGATTATGATAGGGGCACACAAGTATCACCAATGCTAGCCCTTGGGGCTCCGAATTATGACTCTAACTAGTAATGATGGTACTGGTATACCACAAAATTATGTATAACTCTAACGAGTTATTTTGGTACTGGTATACAAATACCCAAAACTCTCTAAGCATTAGGACCCCTCAATAAATCCTCAAGGCTCATGGGAAAGAATTTCTGTAGTTCTCCCAAGGGGCCTCTCCTGCAGCATCCGCGGCAGGATTCCTAGCAACCAGGGCGATGAGGCTTCAATCGCTTCCCTACTCAAGGGTCCTAGGTACCTGCATAGTCTAAGGTAGGGTTCCTAGAGTAGGTATTACTAGCACGATTTAGGGAAGTATCCCCCATAACATTATGGATAGTTTACCCAGAGGGTCCATGTATATTGCCACGCTGGAACTGGGACCCCAAAACCCTAACAGTGGTCTGTTGGCGTCTAATTCCAGCAGTCGGACCCTCTAGGTTGTACCAAGTCCGGACGGTCATATAATGAGGTTGTGTGATGCCGGAGATTGGGGTGCCTAAGCCCTATAAGACCTAAACCCTGGGCAGAACAGTGAGGGTTTAGGGTTAAACCTAAACCCTGAGCAGAACGGGAAAGAACTTCAGTGCGGGTTGGGTTGACATGAAGGTCGTAAGTTACCAAGCAGAGCTTCCGGAAAAGGTTGATCCCATGTTTGCAGTTGATATTGCCGAATAAGGTGTTGGGACACATGATCGCACATGTGTACATATGAAGCCAGAGGACTCGTGTTACAATTGTTTCAGGTTTATACTTTGGGCATAGGCTTTCCCTTCTGGCACAGTGGCCGATGAGAATCGCCACCAGCACGATGACGACGCCGGCGCTCTCCTTGGCAAGCAAGCTCGATGACTTTCGAGGGGTTGGGCTCCACTTCGATGAGTCTACTTGGAGGCCCACGGGACTTAGTAAGTAGGTTGTAAGTAGACTTATAAGTACCCTAAATGGAGTTACCCCAATTACAGCCCTACTTATAACCGACTTACTAAGTCCCCTGGGCCTCTAAGTACAGCAGCTCAGCAGATAAAGAGCTCATAGTTAGTACAGTATGCTGCCCAATCTACAATTCTACTTCAAACTGCTGGTATGCTTGGCCACCTGGTCGTTCCCGATACAAGGCTGAGGTTGCGCATGAAAGCCCACTAGGGGTGCTTCCAGCTCTGGAAACTCAGCGCTGAAATGACGTCCCCGATGATTTGTAGTATAGCCTATAAGGTTTAGGGCGTTGTGGCTTCGTCTAGAAAACTCTGATAACACCTTCACAGTCTGCAACCTCTTACACAAGCCCCCTTACAATCAACTGCGCAGTGGAAGTTTTAGCCAAGTCTCTCGCAATGTGAAGCTATCATGGAGCACCTCGGCCCAAGACAGCTTAGTCCAAAGTGGAGAACCTAGCAATTCCTAAAGCCTATTGGGGGTAGATCTCTTGATCTCTATCTCTCTCTCTAAACCCTAAACCCTAAACCCTAAACCCTCAACCCTAAACCCTAAACCCTAAACCCCAAACCCTCAAACCCTCAAACCCTCTCTCTATTTGTGGAGCTGAGCTTCCTTGCAGTCTCAAGGCTGTGCCCGCCGACTCTCCCGCTGGGAAGACAGATGGGAATATGGGGGCCTTCACAGTTTAGAATAGGGTTTAGGGTTTAGGGTTTAGGGTTTAGGGTTTAGGGTTTAGGGTTTAGGGTTTAAAGCTAAGGGTTTAGGGTTAAGGGTTTAGGGTTTAGGGGCCTTGACAGTTTAGAATAGGGATCCTTTAAAGAGGCTTCTTTGACGGGCTTTACGAAGGTTTCTGCAAGGGTTTAGTACACCGTGCTTTGATTAGGGGCCTTCACAGTCAGAGTAGGTCTTGGAGTATATGATCGCACACAGGGGTTTAGGGTTTAGGAACTCGAAGGGGAAGTCATTGCTAATTCTTCCAACCGTTCTGTGCAGAAGAAGCAGCGGTTGGCGATCAAGGTTTAGGATTCAGGTTAATGTATGAGCCTTAATGATTAGAATTGAGTTTTGGGGGGGGCTCCTTCTCATAATTATAGTATAAAGGACCACAAGACCCTATTCTAAGGCTCTAGCGAACGCAGGTTGAGGTAGTTTTCCCTCCGCAGCTGTGCTGCGGCGCCTTGACCAATAGGAGCGATGGCAGACCCAGCTTCACTGCTTGGTGCAGCTGTGCGAGCTGCTTGTCTAGCTAAAGCCCCGAGGAGGACGGTCCAGGCTGTTGCC